ACTGATCTCTCTGTCTCTGTTCTCAAAGAAGGGTTTCTCAACTCCCATAGCAGAAAAACAACAGAAACGAAACTCATCCTGAAACTAGGTTCACACCACCCCCCTATTCTCAATGACCGACTTATTTTCATGTAATCTCTCTATTCTCATGCAGGTGTTGACTTCACACCTTTCTTCACCCTTCTGCACTTTGCACTTCCTGAGTGGCCTCTCTGCCCCTCATGCCTCCTCTCCTCTCCCCGCTTTTGTTCTTCTGTGCTATTTAATCTTTGCTGTCTGCCCTGTCTTTCTCACACCTGAAGAAGGCTTCACAGCTGAAACATTGTGTTTTCTCTGTTCTCTTTTCACCATGGAATAAACCTATTGCTTGTTCCTTTGCAGCTACCCACCTGAAACGTTTTTCCAAAATGCCTTTGTTAATGTTGACAGATTGCTTTCTTCTTTCTGTTTTCTTTGAATTTTCTCCGTCTCCCCTGTTGGCTGCCTTCTGACGAAATCTCTCATTTCTTTTCTGATAGCATCCTACTGCTTCTTTTGAGAACTTAATTCATTTTGACAGCAGCATTTAAAGCAATAGGCTTTTTTTATTTAAATATGCAGATATGTCCCTGCACCAAGGAGTCTTTAGACAGTAAGGAGACATCCAACTTACATGCAGTTACAAATGTGGAGTTTATTTCTAAATGTAATTCCACTTATCTAAGCACTTCTTCAAATTCAGGCTCTCGGGGGAGTTGGAGTCTATTTTGACAAGCAACAGGAGCAAGACAAAGTTACACCCTGGACTAGAAGTCAGTCCATTATAGGACACACACAAACACAAACAGACACCTACACAATTACGCCAGGCCAGTTTTCCTCTGTAGCCACCTCCAAAAGCTGTACCATTTCGTTTTCAAAGTTTTATCTTCTAACACTGGTGGATTACCTAGCAAAGAACACAACAAAATAAACTTTGCACATGGTATTCTAGGAGACTTATTCAAAAATGCAACACTTCACAAAATGTAATCATATTTAATACTATAAATGCATTAACACGCAGTCACGTCCACCCCCACATACTGTAGGTAGAAAAAAGGTCCCCACTGCCTATGTAATCCATTGTCATTTCATTCACATTGTTAAAATTGTGTCTCTTTACTTCTTTTTTTTTCCCATGGGAGCAAGCGATGTAAGTGAAATTATTTCTGGAATCATAGGAAAGTTTTTCTTGCGTGCGTTTGTGTCTTAGTTCTGTGCCACAGCCACAAACGTGCCATAAAGAGACGTATCTTGAATGTGGTCCCCTGTCAGACAACGACAGCTCTGCCCACTGGCTGAGCTCAGTGCCTGCTGTTTCAGTATCTGGGCAGCACACAAGCTGCAGGTGTGAAACCAAGATAAAGTTCACACTTAACAATAACGTCGAAGAGTCTCGTTTGTGCTCCCACCCCTTTTTCCTATCTTGTTATAGGAAGCATGCATTTCTCTGTCATGGAACAAGTAATAGGTTTATTCTATGCTGAAAAAAAGAAGAAAGAGAACACAACGTTTCGGCTGTGGAGCCTTCTTCAGGTCTCCACGGCCGAAACGTTGTGTTCTCTTTCTTCTTTTTTTCAGCATGGAATAAACCTATTACTTGTTCCTTTGCAGCCTACGCATGCTGACGCAGCTACCCACCTTTCTCTGTCATGTTTGTATTCACATTTATATGTTAACACAGGCAACACATACAGTATTTGATTAAAACACGTTTCCAAGGTGAAATCATCATTTCTGTGACTTTTCAGTTTCTAACACTAACATGATTTACTGACTGTTCTATTTTATTTTTTCTTACTAAATGTGCAGTTTCACTATTAAGTATGTACTGTAATGGAGATCAGTGTGATGCTGGTATGTTTCCACATATGTCCAGTAATTGATTGGACTCTGTTAAGCTTTGAGTTACTTCTCTGTGGTCAGGCCTTTGTTTGTTGAAGGTTGCTGTTTTTCACTGAACAAACCACAGTGTCCAGTGTATTTTATCGGAAGAGCAGACAGCGATGTGGCCGCTTTGTAGTTGCTTGACCTCAAATGAAAAACTGCACAGAAGAAACCACTTAAAAAACCTCAGCTTCTGAAGAATGTCTCATGTCTTCTCACACATTGCTTTCTAAATGCAAGAACCCACCATCACGTATGAGACGTGACCTTGGTATTCAGGGTGTGTTACTCCCACCCAAAATTGTTTTTTTTTTCCATAATTGTTACAGGGGAGGATTGATAAATAGGGGTGGGTGGAAATTATTAATGTTTGCTGTTTCTTTATCATTTGTCAGTAAAGTCTAGTTAGAAACTCATATGTGCTGGCAGTGGTGAGCTAGTACCCTCTAGTGGTGTCACAATAGATCTTTAAAAAAAGTCACGGATGACCATGACTATCATGGCGCAAGTTCTGATGCTTGGCAGGAGGCTGACAGAATGCAGGCGAACCCTGCTAGAGGATGCTCGAATTCAGCAGCTGGTGACAAAAGCCCAGAGTCAATATCGTCAAACACAAACTAAGATGTTGCAGGTCTTTGGTGGAATATTTGAACCAAAGCTGGGCAGTTGAGCACATCGGGGGGGGGGGTGTCGCTGGTCAGCAGCCTCTGCATGTGCTACAAACAATGGCATTTTGAGACATACTGTCCTAAGCAGAGAGCAGAGAGTCTATTCTCTGGCACCCCCCAGCTCTGGGGCTCTCTTTTTGATTGGGCAGGTCCAAAAAACTTGACTTCTTTCACTGTGTCATTGCAGTTGACTCTAACCATGCAGAATTGCGTGGTTCATTAACAGATTCATTTCTTTACCGCTTTGTCCAATTCAGGGTCATGGAGGTGCTTATCCTGGCAAGGAACAAGTGCAAGGCAGGGCACACCCTGGGCGGGATGCCAGTCCATCACAGGGCGCACACTGGCACCGACACACTCGCACAAGGGCAAATTGTCCCAGAAACCAATTAATTTACCAGCATGTCTATGGACTGTGGGATGAAACACGAGGAGGAAACCCACATGAGCACAGGGAGAACGTGCAAACTCTACAGAGACAGCACATGAAGCCAGGGCCCCAGTGCTGTGAGGCAGCAATGCTCAGCTGTGCACCACTGTGCCGCCTGGTTCCTTAACACACTGCTAACTAAATGAGCAAGCTGGGACAAATGATTACAAAATCCTTTTGTTGTGTTATACATTTATACGAACGTATGTTGATGTGTGATTGACTTCACATGCCTATATTAACTTCTCATGCCTTCTCTAGCATTCAGTGTGTGAAACACATTTGACGGTAGACATCTGTTGGGACAGAACACAAGCTTCTCCAAGGCACTGTGCACAATATTACTCTGAAGGTGGCAGTAAAGTACTGCAGAACTGACATTTACCTTCCATTGTGTGATACTGAGTGAATGTTCTAACTAACATTTCGCCCTGTGGCAGGCTATAGACTTTGGTTTTTAATAAAGATTAAGTTTCAGAAATATTAGAAAATACTTTTTTTCACAGATAGTTTAATAATGCATCGAGTGCCTGGAAGTGCAATTAAAACCAAGAGTAGGAGAAACATGTTTACACAAAGGGTGGTGGGAGTGTGGAACAATATGCAGCTTGTTGTTGAAGCCCTGGCTTCTTTCAAGACATATTGTATCAATTAACTACTGACTGTGAAAGCTAGATGGGCTGTTTTTTTTTTGTTTTGTTATGGGGACATTATTAGGACATGTAGTGGAGACAGGTCAAGTCTAGCCTAGATAGACTGATAGGAATACCCTGTGTATCGTCAAATATCGAGCACCCGTGGGCTAAATGACCCGTTTTTTTCATCAGTTTTTCCCAAGTTTTTAAAAATGACTAATATACGCTCAACAACTCCAGTGTCCTGGATTAGAGATAAGAAAGTGAAAGACAGATATTCCACAATGTTTATCATCAAATGCTGTTAATAATCAATCTTTCAACCACAGAGATCATATTCCAATGAAATGTGATTTAAAGGTTTGATCAAAGCAGCTCCTTTGAAATCGATGAAAGACTATCTCTTTGGTTTCCGCAAATGATATGAATTTAAATCTCTCAGCTATTAACGAAGCCACTATTGCAGGATAGAGGTAGATATCGAGGCAATGCTTCCTTATGTCAGAGAGGCTACTTTGCATACAGAAAATAGCCTGACTACAATGTCTTCTTTATTCTGAATGTTTCTGCAGCGGCGGGCTCTGTTCACAGCTGTGCCGCGTCCGCTTCAACATGAATGTCTTCCCCACCTCCGTCTTCCTCTTTTTCGCGTTTGACTCGGCCCTGGTGGTCTGGGCCAGCGTGGGGGACAACTTTAAAGACTGTAAGCAGTTTTTGTACATGAGGACACCGCCGGTGGGAATCGCGGACGGGAACCTGAAGAAGATCTGCCAGAGGTACAACAACAAGCCGCGGTTCGCAACGCTGTACGACGCGGCGAGACGCGTCCCGGTGTACTCTGCTTACACCTTCAAGAAATCCGACGGGCAGAAGCGGGTGGACGTCCCTTGGATGTATGAGCCTCAGGTATTGCCCTGATATATTTCACACTCCGTTTCAGTTCTCCTCGGATGTCCAGATTGCAAATCCCTAAAAACCCTTTACCAGTTCGCTAAATTAGGACCTCATTTTAAGTCCCGAAAAAGCGCGACGATACGAAATCAATCTTTTAGGGTGTGTATAGTTTACTAAAGATTAAGGGATTTACTAAAAGGCACATAAGTGCTGTCTTTATTTTGTTACTGGAAATTGTATTCTCTTCTGCAGTGGTTCTTAAGCCTGTTGTGTGGGGAGGGGCGGGTACAAGACGCGACAGATATTTTAGAATACAACTGCAAGTAAACTTAAAAAAAGTATGAATTTTTCACGTATTCCTAATATCACTGCGAAATAAAAATACACAAATTATCTCTCTTTGATTATATAGATATGATATATTGATAAGTCTGAGATTTAAAGATCTGACCTACAGTACCTCAAAGATTTTTGATAAGGTGTAGCGAGAACATACTGTACACTATCTTGTTGAATCAAAAGGTTTCAGACTGCAGTAAATGCTGCTGTTACTTCACATTAAGATACAGAGTATGAGTGTCTTTACATGTCTGATAGACGGTTAATACAGACATTCTAAAATGTTGATAAAGTATTAAGTTAAATTTTAACTATTAAAACATAAAGTGTTTGCGATGGAGCACTGCACTACTAGAAAAAAAAAACTTAAGTGGCACTATTAATGAGACACGGACATTGTCGGAATATTTCTCTTTACACAAATACACTGACAACTAATTGCCACAGCGAAAGTTTGGCTCATGTATTAGTGCTGTTTATATTATTTCTATATTATTATTCATATATTACTGCCGTAGTATTCTAGTAGTGTAGAGGTTCATTTTGTGCTTTTAATACTTAACATAGTATTAGAATCCTATCTTACAATTCACATGATATTGCCATATATTGTATATTATTCTAGTATTATAGTAGCTTATTTTGTGCTTTTAATGCTGTAGTTGCCACATACTGTAGGCTCAAGGGATCCTCAAACTCTTATTTCAATGCTATTATAACTTCACACTGAAATGAATTATATGCAGGTAAATGAACTTTCTTGCTTTGCATCCAGATCCTCTTGTCTTCATATTTTGCCTGTTCTTTTCTAAAGAGTGAGGAGTACTCTCACTCTGTAAATTTAAATATCAGATCATAGTTTTCGTTCCCTAACACTTCATATTAAGAAAAGGAGAATGAATGTTTTTACAGTACATGTCTGATAGACAGTTAATCCCAAAATTCAAAAATATTAATAAAGTATTCAGTTAGACTATTAAAATATAGAAATTATACTTTGCAAAGACCTCTTACAACAATTAAAAATACCTTCATAGAAAGGTTCAACCCAGCCATGTAGCGGATAACCTGGCTTCTTTCAGGAAACAGCTGGATGAGCTCCCTGGACCAACTGCCTTCTAGCTACCAAACAGGCTACCAGATAGGCCTCCTATTCTTAATTGTTATTACAACCCATGCATCTAATCTCATTTACTTTTAACACACTGCTTAATCTTTATCAAGTGAACATGCTCTTTTCTTTGCAACCTCTTGGTTACTGTAACTAAACTAAAAGCTGACTCACATCCCCTTAATCATAGTTCTGCTTTGTGAAAAGACTCGTTTTCCCTCACTTGGCTGAATGAGATGCTTATTATCCTGCCATTTGCTTTTGTTTTTCTCCTTCTGTTTAGCAGAAACTGTTTGTCTCTTAATTTACCACCAGCTTGAATCGTTATAAGCTATTGGGCTGGATGATACAATGATCTGAGATATTTCAGACTCGGCTTAACACCAAGTCAAGCTTTCAGATGTCTATGGACAAGGGTCAGGGGAGTGTTTTCTGTTTGGTCTGCATGTAAAACATGTCAGAACAATCGAGTGGACCATGTAGTCAGAAGGGAAAAGCTGCCTAACCTAATATTTTCGGCTGCCGTTTCAGCTTGGCTCTCCCGACGAAGGCGGGAACATGCAGGCCCTGCCCCAGGGCGAGATCGACCAGCTGATCGAGGACAGCCAGGCCGTCCTGCAGGACTACGCCGACGCCGTCCTCTACGAAAGGGGCCCCCTGAACCCCGACGAGCACCAGGCCGATAACGATGACAAGGCCGCCACTTACACCCTGACCAATATCGTGCCTCAGATCACGACCTTCTTTGAGGAATCCTGGTCTGTCTACCTGGACAAAATCAGGAAAAGGCTCAACAACTTCTGTCGGGGCAAATCGTACATCGTCACGGGAATAACCACTTCCGGCAGCATGATCCGAAGGGATCACGAAGACCGCTTGGCCGTACCCAAATACCTTTGGTCGGCCTACTGTTGCCCCAGGTTCGACAGAAACTCCCCCTATGACGTACGGTACATGTTTCCGACGTACGCTGCTTATGGGCAGAACGATCAAGTGGACAACAGCATCATCGAAGTGCCACTCAAGACTCTCGAAAGCTTCCTAAAGAACGAAACCGATTTTGACCGGAATTTCAACATTTTCTACAAAGACTGCATTTCCTGAAGCGCCGGGGAAACCCTCCTTTCCCACCGCACTGCCTTGTCTTGACCATAAGACTTTACAAACTGGACTGCGAAATAAATCAGGTTCCACTCCAGAAAGATGTGGCCATTTTGTCCTGTCGCCCACCTTCACTGCTGTCACTGGATTTTGATTTGGAGAACATTAATAAATCTCCAATTACTCTGTAACAGTTTGGTTTTGCTCATAAGAAAGAACACAATATAAAACAGTGTTCTCCTAAACATGGCCCCAAAATTGAGTTTGGGTTGGCAGCTATAGTGATATTTGTCTTTGTTAAGAACCTGCAGGCTGAGCTTTTGGATTTTCTAGTTACTGAACTACCAAATGAATCAGGTGGGCTAATACAGTATACTGAAAGATCTAATTGCTGAAAAAATAAAAGGGCCTTTATGAGTGATTGTAATCCAGGATACACATTTAAATAAAAGGTAAATGAACTCAACACTGGTCATATCTGTTTTTAAAAACATGTCCCACTGTGCATGCACACAATTTAATTTAAAATGAGAATAAATCCAGCATTTTTAATGTTACAATGTAATGCATATTTTTTAGGCTGTTTGATTTAATATTATGTCATTTTGATACAGGTAATGAAAAGAGCACCATGACCCTTAATACATTTGTTATTTGATCAGAACAGATGTCCTGTTAAAAGATGAAGACATACTGCAGCTCAAATGTGAAAAAGAACTCCATAAATTAAAGCAGTGGAAAGAAGTCCATGTCTTCAGACTTCCAACAACCATCAAACATTATTAAAATGATAATAACAACAATAGTTATTATTCATAGGCGTTATTAATTATTTCTTTAATCAGTGCAGGCTCACAGGGGATTTAAAGCCTATCCAAACGGCAGTCTGTCACAGGACACACTCACTCCCACATCAGGGCCAGTTTCCCCAGTGGCCAAATAACCTACTCAAAGGCCTTTGGACTGTGGCTCCCTGGGAATCAAACCCAGGGCCCCAGCTGTGCGAGTCACTGCACCGCCATACTGCCTGCTCTGTAAATTGCACACTCAGAATGAAACCTGTGGTGTTAACCATTGTACTGCTGGGGGGAGGTGCGGGTGTTAGTCTCCTGTTAGATGTCGGAAGCTGTGACAATGTGTTAAAAAAAATAGACTCGCATCAGGCAACGGAAAGCAAAAGCTTAAAAGTCACTTTTGAAATGTTTTCCCTGCTTGTATTTTTTGGGCACTAAATTAAAACAACTGGAAGGCAATGTGGCTGGGGCAGCTCGTCTTTCCTTACGCTGAGAGAAATGGCCATGGTTTCACAGACAGCAGCTCCACCTCTGATTCTCTTCTACGCTCACACAAAAGGGAAAGCAACACGTCGACAGTTTTTTAAATGGATATTCCCTTTCCTTAGTGATTTTGTTTCATGTTTTGTCAACGCAAAAGCCAATAATAAAAAATAAGAGTATCACTCATCCCATATAAATGCTTGGGCTCCTGTCACTGAGTGGTGAATAATTTTGAAATTCACTCACATGCATTTTTAATTCCCTTTGATAACCTAGGGTGTGAAATATTCTTATCTTGCTGAGCTCCCTGACCTTCTGGCCACAGGACGAGAAGACTAGAACCCCAATGCGAAGTGTGAAAGGCAGATTGAGCATGGTGGTGTCATTCTTCCTAAACTTTTAATATAAACATCATTAAGCACACCCATTTGCCCAAACTGATCTCATCCCATATAAGAAAGCAGTACCAGTTAGAGCCCAATTTATTCTCAGTACTGATCAATTTAATTAAGTTAATTTGTTCCCTGGTGACTGAAAGTTACCGAATAAGCCTTTTCTGCTTTGAAGTGTACTTTTTTGTTTAATATCTTCTCTAGATTTCTAGCTTGTGTAACTTATTCAAATACAGATTGAAGATTGACATGGGAGTCAGGAGAACTTTTGTTCTTGTATTGAACGGTATGAAAACCTAATTTGATTGTGGTTAGTTTTGCCTAGGTGCTCACTGTGCGGACACATCCTCGAAATTCTAGGGTGGAGATCATGTGTGATCCTCCAATATTGTGTAAATTAATTTTTATTACTTTGTTTAACCATGGGTGGCATGGTGGATAATTGCTGCCTCCCAGCGTTGGGGCCCTGGGTTCAATTCTGGACCTGAGGTGCTGTCTGTGTAGAGTTTGTATGTTCTCACCATGTTCACATACATTTCCTGTGTGTCCTCCTGTTTCCCCCCACAGTTCCAAAGACATACTGGTAGGTCAATTGGAATCTAAAGAAAACAGACCCTAGTGTGAATGTGTGTGTGTTTATGTCTGAATCAATGTGTGCCCTACGATGGACTGGCATCCCACCCAGGGTGTACCCAGCCTTGTGCCCGTTGATGGCAGTGACAGCCTCTGTCTCCCCTGTAACCCTGAATTGGAAGAAGTGGTTAGAAAATAGATGGATGGATTTATTAATTATATCAGAGACATCTCAAGCAAAAGCAGCAGAAAATGTTTATAGTGAGATATTCATTGCGCTAAATACTTTTTGGTGGTCGGCAGAAACTTTTTTTTCCACAGCTAAACCTGTTATAACAGTCATTCATTTCTAGCAGTTCTCACATTTTTTTTTTGCAGCCACCTTTATTCACACCCCTTCCTCCAGCCCAGCTTACTGTTGCAGCTGCCTAGTTCATTCCTCTGATCTTTGGCTAGCACTGTCTGTTCCTCAACTTGTCAAGAGAACATCAAAGTATTAAGTATGCCAGCCCTTTGTATTCATCATCTCAATTCATTGTTTTTAGAACAACTAAATGATTTACTGGAATAATTTGGGTGGAGTATCTAGTTTGAGGGAACACCAGTAGTGTCTCATTGGAGATTTGGACCCACAATCTTCCAGTTATGAGTCCAGAACCCTGACCACTGCTCCTTGTTAGTATGACTTATAAAGGAGCCAGGTGTAATGAAAGAGATTAAAAAGAGCCTTTGTGACATCTGCTGAGTTATTTGCATACATGAAAACCACATGAATGAAGCTGTTATCCCTCGGTTTGGCTTTCTAGGAGCACAGGCTTTGTCTTACGTTGTAGAAGAAATCAGTCTGCAAAGAAAAATAAAAAGAAATATCACACAAGACAAGGACGCAATTAGAATTCCTAGGCCAGCTGTGGCAATATTGTTTAAAAAATCAGCAGGAGTAGTCTTTGCAGTTTTGCAGTTTGCATGGGGAGCTGTGTCAAGTGTGTGTTCTCTGCAAGGGAAGAAGAAAAGGCGAATTCCTCACTGAAAAGGACAAAGGAAGAAACAAAATTATAGCTGTTGAGCCTTGAAATGTTCACACTGCAGTAGGGGCTCACCAGCTTCTTCTTTCTCCTTTTCAGAGTGGAATCAACTTTTACTTGTTCCTTTAAAGATAAGACATACCCTACTTCAGACATGAAGACAAAAAAATTAATATTCCACTGAAGAAAAATCAGACTCCATGTTAGGTGGGGGTTAAGTCAGAAGACTGTGTCTCTCATAACAATTCAGTTCAATGCTGGGACCCAGCACACTTTATGCCTTCTTCCAGAGGTTGATATCGGCTGTGGTATAGGCCTACCAACATTGCCGATTTTCCAGCTCAGTAATTCATCATAATGAAATAATAGAACACTGCTTGGTTAAGTCATGGGTCTGTTGTATCAGTAGTTACAGCCAATGACTCACAGGGCTAGTTTGCATACACCACAGTAATCATGGGTACTGCTGGTGTGCTTCTGCCCTTTAAGTAGGCTGGCCTCTTCTTTCTCTATCCAGAACGGTGCGGCTCTCAGCATGGATCTCTCCCACTCCGGCATCTCCCTGCTGCTCGTGTTCATCGCCGCCTCCGTGTCCGTGGTGAGGGCGAGCGTAGGGGAGACGTTCAGGGAATGCAAGCAGTTTATGTACAAGGGAACGCCCCCTGCTGGCCTGACCGATGACTCTCTCCTGAAAATATGCCAGCACTACAACAACCGTCCCCGCTTCGCGACTCTGTATGATGCCAAAAAACGCATCCCTGTCTACTCCGCCTACACCTTTAAAAAGTCTGACGGCGAGAAGCGGGTGAATTTTCCATGGATGTACGAACCCCAGGTACATTTTTTCGTTCTTTATAAAAGCCTGAAATTGGTACAACTTTTATTAAAGTCGCTTTCCCTTCTCTTGGTGGAAAGATCAATATGTATCATCATGATGAACTATAGCTAGTAAACCATTTACAGGAATATCACACCGGTTTTTAGTGTATTTTATAAACATTTATGATTATAATTAAAATGTATGTAAATTATAATTATTATTTACAATGGTTAACATGTATAATCAATAATGCCGTGGAATGAGACTCAGTAGGGTATTTTAAAAATAAAACGGGCAAGTATCCCTTTTTGACTACCTCGTAGAGTGAATTATTTCTTCATACCACATGAAGACTTAAAACAGTTGATAAAATTGCCCTTAAATGTAGCATGAATCATGATTAATTACAAAGGGTCATTATTCTTTTTGCTCTCCTCAGTACTTGTTGTACTTGCCTGTAACACACGTCACAATGAAATTCACTAATTTAAAAGGTAGTTTTTTTAAAAGGTACAATTTAATTATTTCCACTTCAATCGTTAATTAGTTAATAGTACTAGGAAGAGGAGAGAAAATAATTGTTTAAATTGAATGCATTTGGGTTTCAGCACTGAATTGAAAACACTAAACTTCAAAGCCACTGATCTGAACATTATGAATTTGCAAAGTGTGTATGAGCTCATTTTACATACTGTAGCTCCAACAGTATCTTATGTTTTCATATTTTCTTTTCCATTTTTAATAACTGTTAATAACACATAAAGAAATATATAGAATATAATTCCTCAAGGACCGTGTAATGGTTAACATTGCAGCCTTGCAGCTCTAGGGCCCTGGGTTCAATTCTGGACCAGGGGTGCTATCTGTGTGGAGTTTGTATGTTATCCCCTAGTTTGTGTGGGTTTCCTCTAGGTCCTCTAGGTGACCTCCTGCTTCCTCTCACAGTCCAAAGATATCCCAGTAGGTTAATTGGCTTCTGAGAAAAATGACCCCGGTGTGAGGGACTGTGTTTTTGTTCATGTCTGTCCTGCTTTGTGATAGACTGGAGCCCTGCCCAGGATGTACCCTGCTTTGCTCCTGTTGTCTGCCAGGATAGACTCCGGCTCCCTTGCAACCATATATTGGATAAAGCAGTTAGAAAATGAATGGATGGCCAATTTCCCAGAGCAGCACACCCTCAAGTGTGTAAATACCTTGTACTTTCTCTCACAGGCTGTGTTGGTTTGGCACCATCTAGTAAAAAAGCATAAAATCTCATCGTTTTAACAACACTTCCGAAACTACGCATCAAACGTTCACCACAGTAGGCTGTAGTGAAATCTATCTGTCCAATTCCTAATCTCATTATCCAATACCAGGTTGCAGAGGAGCCCGATTCCCTCCTGGAAAAGCAATGGGTGCAAGGCGTGGTACACCCTGGACAGGATGTTTTCAATCACAGGACACACACAGACACAGACACACACTCATATAGGGACAATTTCTGCACTGGCCTATTAATTTACTCCTACAGTATGTCTACAGTGGGAGAAAACCAGAAAACCCCGAGGAAACCCACACGAACACAGGGAGAACACACAGACAACACCCAGATAGAACATCCACTAACAAATGTTTGTGGTTTCAGCTTTCAAGTATGACCGGAACCAACAACATGCAGCCTTTTCCACGAGGAGGCAGCGAGGTCCGCATTGAAGAGAGCCAAGCGGTTCTGCAAGATTACTCCGATGCCATACTGTACGAACGAGGTCCCCTGAACCCTGATCAGCACCAGGCTTCTCCCAGTGATAAAGCCGCCACGTACACCCTCACTAACATCGTACCTCAGGTTAAGGAGTTCTATAATCGCCACTGGTCCGCTTACGTAGACAGCGTGAGGAAAAGATTTAACAACTACTGTAACGGTAAAGCCTACATCGTGACAGGCGTGACCACGTCTGGAAACACGATTCGCAGAGAGAACACGGACAGGGTGGGAATTCCGAAATACATCTGGTCCGCTTACTGCTGCCCAAACTATGACCTCAACGCCCCGTATGATGTCAGATACAAGTTTCCCACTTTCGCCGCGTACGGGCTGAACGAAGTGGTCAACAACTTTGTCACCGAAGTCTCGCCCAGAAAACTCGAAACCCTGCTGAAAAGAGAAATGAACGTCGACCAAGATTTCCAGCTGTTTTACAGGGACTGTGTCGCTGACTGAACGCCGGATCACAGCGGGTTTTCCGGCTCCGGAATGTCATTTTAGATTTTCGAAATTCAAACCCACGAAAGTTTAATTGGTACAATAATGAAAAAGAAGGGAGGAAGAATCCATAGGTCCAGTATTTCTCTTTAGTCTTAAACTCATTTTAGAACATAGAACACTGCAATGAAAAATTTTAGAAAAGTGAAGATAGTTTCGCCCCTCCCATCTTGTTTCTCTATATTCTTCACCGCAGAATATTTCTTCTTTAAAACAACTTTTTCTTCAGAAGCATTCTGAGGTATTGTACATTGATGAAACTTGTTTACAAGTAATAAGCGTGTTTGAAAAAAAAATCCACTCACCTGTTTCCTAATCATTAGCTGAGAAACGTGAAGTTGTAGACGGGTGTCTTCATTTTTTTCCCCCACTTGTAGGTTGAATGACTACGCAATAGAAACCTCAGGTCAATAGGCCTAAAACGATCAGGATCTTGATCATCACCTCGTTTCACTTCAGATAGAAGCACTGGGATCCCCTATCCAATATCAGTTTATTTATTCTATTAATTCACCTGTAATTCATGATTTCTCACGGGGTGTCAGTGTCACTGTTTAATCACACTTTCAAATTATTTCATAAATCATTAAATGTAGTTTAATTCTAGTCACTCAGCTTAAAAAAACGAGTTAGTTTGGAAAGTGTATGATTTTGTTGGTGACCATCTTCTGTTATAGATTTACAGAAGTTTACAAAACTGTAAAACTGTGGAGTCTTTCACATTAATGTAAACTTCATCATTGGTACTTTACTTGTCTACCACCTTACTTCTGCTGCCCTGATACTAAATCTATTGACCATCTACTGTGATATTCGAAGATGTGATCTTTTGCCCACAGAGAGGGCCAAAAGACTGTCTCTACTTTTGCGTATACTGTAGTAAGGCAAATTTAAAATAGTAATTTTGGAAAGTATTTTTTTAATCAAATAGTAGGTAGAAAGAGAATCAAACGCGAGCTTTGCAGATGGGTGACTGCTTGGGAAACAATCCTGAAGTTAAATTGCACAGTTGAGATTAAGACTGACTGCTTCCTTTCAGAAATTTCCCCACATCTAATAAATCCAGACTAGCACACTCCTGAAGAAACTGATTTAAGAAATCTGCTTATGTACAATATGAGTTATTTTTTCTTTCAGATATTCATATGTAATACTTGGGGTTTGTAACTACGCGGAATGTAAACGTCTTCATCTTAATCTTGCATCTGTGAATTAAAAGGCAATCTGATGGAAGCAAGGGAATATTTGCTTTAAGAAATAAAAACTCTTGAATGAAAGAAGACAAAGCCTGTTTTTTTGCGTGGATTCAGATTCAAAAGATTTCTTTATTAGAATATGGCAGCAAAGTGTACTTTTCAGTATTTCTGATCCTAATTAAGAGCCGACAGGCAGAAACTTACACACACGTCTGGATCGTTGAATTTTTACAGTCTGGATGGGCAGTCGTGGTTAAAGATGTCAACCAGGTTTCATAGGTAATTTGTTCCTAAATGTTTAATGTTTAAGAAAGTTAAAGTCTAAAGTGCTATGCACTCACTGGCCAAACTATTAGGTAGTACAGTACCATATGACTGGTGTTCTGTAAAAATGCAGCTCAATTGCCATCCTCCTTCTCTGCCAGTTGTGAAGAGCTCTGGTTTTATAGGCATCATAACCTGGGATCCCTACAGTGCTGAGAAAAGGTTTGTGAACCCCCTAGTTTGGTCCACATTCCCTTTTATCCATCCATCCATTTTTTAACTGCGGGGAGCCAGAGCCTATCCCATCAAGCAATGGGCACGAGGCAGGATAGACCCTGGACAGGAGAGCACTCCATCACAGGGCACACACAGACACAGACATGCGCTCACTCACACCCTGGGCAGTTTCTTCCAGAAGCCAGTTAACCTACCAGTAGGTCTTTCGACTGTGGGAGGAAACCACAGTGCCCAGAGGAAACCCACACAGATAAACTCCGCACAGACAGAACCCCACATCTGCAATTGAACCCAGGTCCCCAGCGCTGCAAGGCAGTGATGTTTACCACTGTTCCACTCTGCTACCCTGTTCCTTTTTATGTTAGGCCTAAAACATTATTAGTTCTTCATGGAAATAAGATTAATACCAGATGAAGATTACCTACGGTAATTAATAGTGGAACACAAAGATATAAAATACATTTGCATTATATGAACAAACTGATCCTCATGTGAATAAGCACAGTACGTGAAACTTAACATTCAGTAGTTGGTGGCACCTCTTGGAGCAGAATTGACTTTGGGTACTGTAACGAACAGTTCTTTCCGGACCCTATGCGGACGACACAATCCGACGAAGTGGGAAAACACTAGGGAAACGTCATGCAGGAATACGGGGCTGAAGACAGGGGGGCGTGTCCAAGGTGCGCTGGTGCACGGGGAAGGTGTGGCCGAGGCGAACAATCCAAAAGAGTGGTCCTTAGAGAGTATCCAAAACACAAAGGTAAGTCCAAAACCAGGTGATCCATCAAAACGCGGAATTAAAACACGAAGCCGGGTCGGAACCGGCGGACAGGGAACAGGAACGGGAACCGAGATTAAAACCTTAACGGGACCAGGCGCTTCCAGGTCCCGGACTCGCACGATACGGAAATCAGATGCAGAGCCTGGATGAGCGTCAGCACCTGGCTTTTAAGGTGGGCTGGGAATAGGAAACAGGTGCACAGAATAAAGTCTCACGTGAAAGGGCTGGAGCACCCTTAAGGAGGGGGAACTATAATCGTGACAGGTACCTGGAGACTCGACAGCTGAAACTTTGTTCTTCCTTCGTTTCCACGCAGAATAAATCTTTACTTATTCCTGCTAATTTGTTTAGAGCTTCCTGGTTCACTTCTGTTAATCTTTTCATATATTGCTGTTAATATTTTTGCCATGTTTGTCTGCCTGAAGTGAGGAAGGTACAGTATTAAGATTAGAAACTCCGCCTGTTGGGTCTTCTCACAGAAACTGATGGGTTGTCCACAGGAGTCATCACTACGTCTTACTGTGCAATGTTGAGCCATGGAGGACCTCGTTCAGACCTGCTCTGTGACCCCCAGCAGCAATGAGCTGTTCTACTGTAATCTAATACTAATACTAATCCAATACTTTAATAGCAACTCTAATCTGTGGGTCCTTCTTTCGTTCTCAGACTTGAAATTTCAGCTCAGCTGAAATATGAAATCAGCTAGGGGGCTATCACTAACATCACTCATCTTTTCATGTGTAAGTAGGAAATTCCCTTCAGTACCTTACAGCCTATTTAGTTTTCAGTTGTGCTATATCCTTTACCTCAACGTAGGCTGTGCTAAAGTTACCCAGTACAGTTAGGGTCATGACTGCAATATGAATTATCATGATATATCGGTGAGTCCCTCTCTCCAAGCTGCGTATTAGTAATGAATTTACCAATAAGGTTTTAATTTTGTGAAATTAAGCCACAGAAGTTCAGTTGAGTTCCTGCCATAGAGTCCCATGAAAGAGATAGTTAAAAAAGGTTAACCACATGCAAATTTCCCTTGCTACTTATGCCTACACTATTTTCCACACTTTGCTATGGTTTCTCATACCTGCCACTTGGAATGAAACCATGAAATGGGCCTTGATCAGGCCGAGGTGGATTAATTGGAATGATGAAGATGGTAACTGCTGCAGCTCCAATGCGATTGAAAGGCTCAGTTGGTACCATCCTTTAAAAAGTTCAGTCCCAGGTTGCATGGTGCTATCTGTGTAGAGTTTCTATGCTCACCCATTGTTCACGTGTGTGTTCCTCTACTTGCTCTGGTTTCCTCCCACAGTCCAAGGATATACTGACAGGTTAAATGGGGTCTGTAAACTAGATCTGGAGTGAGTGTGTGTACTGTACCTAAATCTGCCCTGTGATGGATTGGCATCCCACCCAAGGTGCATGCTGCCTTGCGCTCGTTGGTTGATGGTATAGACTGCAGCTCTCCTTCAACCCTGTATTGGATACAACAGTTAGGAAATGGATGGACTGGTGGAAGTCCAGTCCCAAAACCTCACATCTTTGCAGGAACCAAAAATGTTGCTGTGTTGCTTCACATATGCCAGACATTGCGTTACTCCTCTCATCTCTACTTGAACTTTAGCCGGCAGGTTTAGTTCCAGAAATGTGCGCCCATCAGATCACCCTGTGGTCTTCTGCCATCTGAAACCTTTAACAGTTCCTTGCTTAGATTCAGCTTTTTTCCCTGTTATTATAATGGATGAATACCAAAAGTTACCACTCCTCCTCACCTTGGATACTAGGCAATGAGTAATGTAGGGTCTGCATTTACAGGGGGGTATACAGTATGGCGGGACTCCTTCTGTGCTCGCCATGAAGCCATGTTAATAGTCCTGCTTCCTTCTTATTCTTCAAAAGGAAGGAAAATGAACCACCTGGAATATCTCAAGGGATTGCCAGACAAATGACTGGGACAGAAGGAGACCACCAGTCATCTTGTCTTCCAGGAGTGTGGATTAAGGTCTTGTTATATTGAGATAAGTGTGGAAGCTGGCATGTAATGGTCTCTTCCCAATTAGAGATATCACACACAGGTTTCTCTCACCCACAGCACAGCAAGACCTTTGGTGACATGCTAATGGAGAGTGGAGCAGGATAGTGGTGTCTGGACACCTCTAGACAGGAAGTAGTGTGAAGGAGGGGGTTATAAGTGCATTGTGAAGCACTTGGCCTGAGGCGGAAGAGCATTTCAGCTTCTGTGATGATGATTCAGCCTTTTGTAGGACTCATTCTGCTCAACACTGTTAGTCTGGGGCTAGAGAAGACGAACATATAGACACAGTCAGCCTGATAGACTGGTTAGCAGCAGCCAGTGAGCTGCAGTCGGAGAACAGAACAGAGAGTTTAACAATCTGGGAACAGGAACATTAGAACCCATCAGATGATCACCGTCCAGAACTCTGAACTGCATCCGTGGACCGAGAACCATGTCATAAATGTCACTGCTATGAGAGAAACACAATAAACAAGAGATGGGCAACTCAAGGAACAGGAAGGTCACTGCACTTTCATCTGGAAGGGAAGACCAGGGGAAGAACACCAGATTCATGGAACTCAGTTTGCTATCAAGAATTAAATCATCAACCAAGTTCAGGAGGGTTCTGTTGGAATCAGCCAGTACACCCACCTGTTTTCCATGATTACCCCTACTGTAGATACAGTCGGCAAAACCAAGGGAGATTTCAATACCAAGCTTGACTAGACTCTTTATATAATCACAAAGGATGACAGATTTATTCTTCTTGAAGACCTCAAAGCCTGAGCTGAAAGAAATGGCAATCTCCGTTATGGAAGTCTAGGCAAGTCCAAATTCAAGGAGAAGCATTCCTGTCTTTACCAAATATGCAGACCATGGACTGTCAGACACACTGCTTCACCCAGAGCTGACAAAATCCCTGGTCCAAGCAGTGACACCTGACTGAGTTTGTCATTGAATGGGTTCAGATTCACAAAGATGTCCCTATTATTAGTGACAGGAGATCAAGACTACTGCGCTTATCCATTAAATTCAAAACCCCCATGATATATATTTATCTCTCAAAATTTGCCAGCATCCATTGCCCATTTCATGATGACATTTGTGCAGTAACCCTCACTCATCAATCCTTTACAGAGCCCAGAGGTGTTCAGAGCAAAATGTCTGATATAACTCAGTAAAGTAGGCACCACTACGGACAGCACAATAATTAATTTCTCAGTGCATTCCTTTGTGTAGCCATTATGCTGGTTTGTGTTGTTGAAAGTCTCATCTGAGGTGTACTGGATTCTTCCCACGGTACATAGACATACTGGTAAGTTAATTAGCTCTGTGTACCCTGCTTTGTGCCTGTTGATTGCCAATATAGGCTCCAGCTCCTCAGTGACCCCAAATTGGAAGAAGTGGTTATAAAATTTATGTATGGATGAAAATAGACAATATATTTTAAAAAAATAGTGTTGCCTATACTTAACAATGGTTTCACGCTAAGTTACAGAAAAGCTGTTAAATAGTACACTTGCCATTGTAGGACACCACAAAATATTTTTCACTGAATATTCTTTACATTCCATTATTGCTTCATAAGTGAGAAATCTACAGTATATAGTAACTTATGTTAACAGTTCAATGTGTTCTGTTCAGTGATATTAATGTGATAATAACAATTTGTAGGTTTATTGAGAACTAGTAACAAAAAATGTCCTGATGGCATTATTAATAAACGTTAGTAGACATTTGTAATAGAGACTTAAACTCATGTAAAACCGACCTGGCATTTTATCGTGTGTATTAACCTGTATTTCAATGCAGAATGAAAGACAACCCATTCAATCAATACTTTCGGCCGCTGGGAGCTACTTTGCATATAGAAGAATGATTAGGGCAAGCAAACAGTACCCACAATGCCGCTTTAAAGTTTAAGTAGTTCTGTATCTGCCCCAGGCGCTCAAGTGAGAGGAGACCTGCCCTGTTTCTCGACATGAAGCTCCCTGGCACCGTCGTCTGCCTGCTTGTGCTTCTCCGTTCTCCTTCAGCGGTCAGGGCCAGCGTGGGAGAAACGTTTGGGGAGTGCAAGGTGTTCCTGTACAAGGGGACCGCACCGATCGGACTCGAGGACCACTCGCTAAAAAAGATCTGCCAGCGTTACGACAGCAAACCTCGCTACGCCACCCTATACGACACGGTGGATCACATCCCTGTGTACTCCGCGTACACCTTCAAAAGATCCGACGGGGAGAAGAGAGTCGACGTGCCCTGGATGTACGAGCCCCAGGTACAGCGTTTTCCTCCTCAAATCTTCCTTTGTATCCAAAACGAAGCCTAAAATAACTTGCACTGTATATACCTTTTATATAAATTCTGAGAGGCATTAAAACATGTATGGTCCTTTTAAATTGTTTTTCTCCAAATAAATGCATGTTCAAATATTTTTGTAAGCATTTAAAGGTGAAAAAAGAAATAAGTATATATCCAATATATTTTGGATTTAAGACAATTTAGTCTTTCAGCCTTAATTTCAGCTGAGGAAAGAATAATTGTACTGGAATACTTATAAAAGGGCCCACGCTTTAATTGCTACAATGAAGAAAAATACCAACAATATGTTATTCTGTGGGACCTTTTGATGCCCCATTATTAGTCGTCTTGCTTATTTGCAATTGATTGTAAAAATAATTCCTCTTGATTTTAATGTTGACTTATTTTATATTCAAGGTTATTTTGGGGGGGATTTAGGGGGAAAACTACAGGCTAACTGTTTTTTTATTGCTGTCGCCACCAACAACTTGGATTACTTGAACACACAGTCAGAGCTTATTTATTATTTATATTTTTAAAAAATAATTTAAAAACAACTAATTTCTACAAAAACAGACTATTTTCTTTTTTAATCCAAGAAAATATTTTTTTTTACTCAAAGAAACGGTACATGTCTGCCTCCTGTGATGGACAGTGTCCTGTCTAGGGTGTATCCTGCCCTGCACCCATAGCTTTCAGGAATCCCCCATGACCCTGAATTAGAAGAAACGGTTAGAAAATGGATGGAAAGGGTTAAATGATTTATTTCTGTTTAACTCTCCATCCTATTATGTTTAGACTTGACCATGTGCCCTTTTGCTTAGAAATCCACACATTTCCTATTTCAGTAGTGTGGTTAGGTGCAGAAGAGAACAGCAGTCTTTTGAGGATGAGTCTGACTGACCCTCCCCTCCCTTCCATGAGGAATGAGCCATGGAGCCGCTTCAGGGAGGAAGATGGGATGGTGGAAGGGGTGTGAGAGAAAGGAGTGGGAGTCAGTCTCAGGTGTGAGATATTTACATATGTTCGTGGGAGAGTGGAATCAAGTGAGATGAGGATTGAACCTTCCTCCCGAACTCCAGACCTGTAACTTCTCGTTTCAGCTGGCCTCCTCCGCGGGGAAAGATGAAATGCAGCCCTTCCCCCGTGGAAATGTGCACCAGAACTTCGAAGACACCCAGGCAGTCCTGGAGGACTATGGCTACGCGGTCTCCTATGAAAGAGGTCACCTGAACCCAGACCAACATCAGGCTGAACCTGCTGACAAGGCTGCCACCTACTCCCTCACTAACGTTGTACCACAATTCAGAGAGTTCAATATTGGGCAGTGGGCTCAGCATGAGGACACCATCAGAAAGAGGCTCAATAACTACTGCAGAGGCACGGCCTACATTATAACGGGTGTGACCACATCAGGAAACATGATACGTAGGAATAATGTCGATAGGGTTGCCATTCCAACCTATATGTGGTCTGCCTACTGCTGCATTATGTATGACAGAAATGCCCCCTACAGTGAGAGATATAAGTTCCCTGCTTTTGCAGCGTATGGCCTGAATGACAAAGAGAATAATAACGTAGTTGAGCTGTCGGTCAAAAAACTAGAGAATTTCCTGAAAAGCATAACCTTTGTTGACAAAAACTTCCAGATTTTCTATCGAGATTGCATCCCTTAAAGACTTTGGCGATGCACTTGAGTTTCTCAGTCCCTTTTGTCTTGACCATGGCAGATGACACGAGCTGTTTTTACTGGTATGACACCCTGGTATCTAGGCACCCTCTGCCTCCTAAATTCCTCAACGCCCATTCAAAACGAAAGAGAAATATTTAGTTGGGATATAGAAAATGTATTATCCTAACAGTAGAAATATTCAGATTTATCTCACTTTTGATCATTATCAAGTTACTATAAATCACTGTTGATTAATACTGAGCTAAATTAAAGGAGAATACTTTTGTTTGTGTCTGTTTTTGAAGTGCCCAGAGAGATTTGAGAATAAATTTGAAATATTTATAGAAATATTGAAAAACAGTGTAAAACATCTAAAACTTTACAAATTCAAACGTTTTTATTTCATGGGGATACGCGAGTATGTATTTTGAGTGTTGAGAGTACAGTAATATCTTCCATAATATATTTCTACACTGTTTTGATGTCTCTGGTTTCTACTCAGTAATACACTTGTTTCAAATCCATTTTTCCACAAAATGTAACCCGAGAAGATCCTTGATTGCATTTGTCAAAATACGTTTATTTTTAACAATTTTTGTTGTGTAATCTAAGACTTTAATAAAAGTGCCGTTTACAACCACAGTTATGGTTCACTCTTTTGTGCAAGATCCTCTTTATGTAAAAGTTTGTAAGCGGGAACAAAAGATGAATATGCTAAAAGACCCCTACTATTGCTGTTCCAAATTCAATAGGATTTCTTTCAGCAAGCAACTAGTGCAGTAGATAATGTCAGGGAATTTGATTTGATACATCTGCACTTCCAGAAAGCTTTTGATGAAGCACATATGAAAGACTAATCCTCAGGCATAAAGCTGCAGCAATCCAAGGTAGTGTGCAACATTACAAAGATTTACACACAAATATAGGAAATAAAGGGTACCGGAGAATGAGCTAAAAATGGAGTTGGCTTAGGTGGGATCCACAAGGACCTGAAGACATAGATTGGAAATGATTGAAAACAGGAGACGCTTTTTTTTTGCAAGAGTAAAGCCATTCTAATGCAATCTCACCCATCCCACTCTTAAGCCTAGAAATTCCTAGTGCATTAACTGTAACCTTCTGAACTAATACATAAAGGATACAAAGGGCATATTTGAAATAGATATATTCACGACATTGAGATGGAACTGGCTAAACCACATCTATACTAGGGGTGTTTACAGGAAAGAAGTGTTAACAGTAAATTATACCTCACATCTACTAAACTCACAATTTGAAAACTTCCCATTCGAATGACATTTCAGAGTCCCAAAGGTTACGAAGAACATTTTTAAGAAGTCATTTATCTCGAGTGCCATTTCTTCTTTTAAACCCTGATGTATTTGTTCTGTATTGTGTTATTCATATTAGATTGATTGCATACATCTGTGAAACCCACTGGATGCTTTGTGGAATTTGTGTATACAGTATATATATATATTACTTTTATTGTTGTTTCAGTGAGGCCAAAGGAAAATTTCCACCATATGTCAACAAAAAAGGAGATTCTGATTCTGAAATAAAAGCTAACAAAACCTCCCAATCTGCTCAAACTGTTAGACATTGCTCAGGAACTTTGATCAGCTAAATAAAGATCCCAAAGCAAGAGTTTTACTTTTTAAATGTGTAAATACAAATTAATTCTCGTTAAACCCTACTGATCCCAGTTATACAGTAGGTTGTGTGAGACTAGTCTGTACCATGAGCACCTGAGGCATGTGTCCTGAACACCTGAGGCCTGTGTCCCAAGCATATTGGATTTAGAGAGTTGTTTTATTACAGCAAGAGGAGACCACTGCAAATGACAAAGATGCAGAGTTTAACAGGATTAATTCATATACACACACAGATAATAACAGCTAATAATTTTTCTTTTTTGCAATGCTGTCATACAGTAAGTGCAAACCACAATTTCTGCATACTGTCTATCATATGATAAAGCTAATAACTCCTGACTGTCAGTTGTCAAAGGATCCCATAAAAACATACGCAATGAACAAACTGAGAGCACATATCATTCCACACAGTCCTGACCTTCGTTCTGAGAATGGTTTATCAGGGGATTTAATATTTCCTTAGCTGGCCTTGATTAAAAAATGACAGTGGCTTCAGAACTATCTTCATAACTTGCCCACATATATAAATCTTGCACCAAGGTCTATGCTTCATGCATTTCTGTCGCACCCTTCCACTTCCCCATCTATACCCTCGTAGCAGCTCATATTACAGATTACATACATATTTAATTCCTCTATCCCATTCCTTAGAATCTAATGAACTTAATTATTTAACATCATATATTCTTTTAATATTCTTCCATCTGTCCATGTTCACACGTGTTAATCACAGGGCAGACTCAAAAATAATACTTCATAATTAAGGTAATTATGAACACTGTGTGATCAACGAAGCTGAGGGCTTAAAGTTGTAGCCAAGCCAAATGGTCTTATGGAAAACTGGCGTTGCATTGTTGTGAAATCCAGAGACCCCAGTTTCTAATCCAGAATGAAATCAGATGTTACATCAGACATGAGTGTAAATTCCACTAGGGCCAATAAAAAATCAGATGTGAAGACAAAAGCTGTGCTTTCTTTTTTATGCAAAATGACTTTCATGAAATTTATGACAAATAGGTACGTGGTTCCTCCGTGTGCTCCAGTTTTCTCCCATTGTCCAGAGACAAACTGGTAGGTGAAGTGGCTTCTGGGAAAATTGGCCCTACTGTGAGCATGAGTGTGTTTGTGTCTGTGTGTGTCTTGTGATGGACGTGTCCCATCCAGGGAGTATCCTGCCTTGCACCCATTGCTTGCTGGAATAGGCTGCAGCTACCCCTGTGACCCAGTGTTGGATAAAGAGATTAGCCCCTTTCTCAGTGCAGTGTTAATGTAATCCCAAAACCTTTGTGTAAAGAGAATCTCATCCAGCTGTTTTTTTTAAGGAGCCAGTTTATCATTTTCAACAAGTTGGTTGGACGCTTGTTGCACTTTCCCACTGCCCAATGTAGTTACATACACAGGGATGTGAAGGGCAATATGAAGGGCCATATTGTTTCCATAAGTAAAAAAGTAACAGACGTTTTTTTTCCGCAGACCACAAGTAGATGAGCTTTAATAACTTTTTACTCTACATACAGTACAAGTAAGTCAAAGATGTAATACCATGTGCTCTACTGAGGTAATAGGTA